GGAAGAAATGTCCCATCTGTAACACTGTTTATGTCTTTGAAGCCAATGCATCTCCCGACATATGTATGCATGCGGTCCCAAATGTCTTAACAGCCTAACCATACAAAGCATGCCACAAATAGTATTTGGCTGCAAGAGGAATGCCCCAGCGGAATGCCACTCTGGTTCAAAATGGTTCGAAGATGGTCCTTGAACCACTTCTTTTGGCCACCCATTTGACACTGACCCTCTGAGAAGACGCCTGAGAGAAGTTTATATTTTCTACGATCCATACTGCTATCCCCAGCCAAAAAGTAAAGTTTAAGAGAAAAGCAGCCCACCCTATGTACTTGGGGATGGTAAAGGTGATGAAATACACATAGCGACAATAATAAGAATACAAGTGGCATGTGGCCTATATTGTCATCGGCTATAGACAGAATTTAAGAGGTTAGTATGCAAGTCTACTAAAGCACACCTGACACACAGTACATACATTGGATCACCTGATCCATCCAAATAGCCACCTAGTCATTTTTTTATTCTGTGGCTACCTGGCCACATGTTCACCGGGGAACATCCAACACTCACTGTGCCACCTGGAACACCAGTAGTGCTGCCTCTTCTGCTACTCGCCGTAGTGGTTACCTTATCTTGTGACACATGTACTATTAACAGGGCAAACCTTGCCCACTGCTTGAATTGATCGGGTTGAGCGTGTGACTACTGCAACACTACCTTTGATCTCTGACGGCCACTCCGTATAGCTACTGATCGGGTTGAGCGATCAGTGCAGATGCCAAGCATTGCTACCTACCACATCCCCGAGCAACCCTGCCTACCGATGGCCCAGCAGGAAATGGAATGACGCCCCGCCGCCTGCTGGGTTCCTTACCAGCTTCTGCTTGCTGTGCTTCTTCCGCTCAGTAATCGGGCCTGTCTACCCCCTCCAAGTGGGCAACACTGACGTTTCCTATTTAGGCCTACGCCTCTGCCTTGATCTGGTCACTTTTTGCAGCATCCAGACATGCAGGAGTTTCATGTACGCTTTACGTGGCCGCCTTACGTCATGTGCTCATATGGCCCCTATATAGTGAATGCAAGTCTGGGTCACGCATACTTAACCCTGACCGTGGCTCGAACAATAGCTCATAACTCTACCACTACACTACACATCAGACTGCCGGCTAGCCCCGTCACTCCCGTGCCGGGGGCCAGCTAGGCCGGAAACAAAGAAATCTGCTATATGGGCATCACGCCACTGTTCTCTGGAGCTATGAATACGATCAGCCTACTGAGTGTGTTTTATTCTCACCACCAGTTTTTGTTCATATATGCCTGCAGTAAATGAAAAAAAGGTGCATACTTGGCAATTTTTTTGTCAGTTTCACCATTTTATCTGCTCACGCTCTTTGTTGTAGCAAGTAGAAGGGATTTGTACAATAAAACTTAGATGCTGAATAAAATAGGATATATTGATACTTACATGTATATCATGGAGCAATCTTCCATCTTCGGACACTTCTTACCTGCGGTTTTCTCTTTTTGCAATGCATGTGGAATGACCTAAATTCCTGATGCATGCAATGATACCGCTGTAGTCCTCTAATTCAAGGATACAAACAGCCACTTTGAACATAGTACAATATAACAAGGTTCGTTCTTTATTTCTTAGCGAATACTTTAGCCTCTTTTTGCTTGTAGGCTGGCGTTACTTTCTACCCTCCAAGTCCGGATGTGACTATGATGACAGACAAGTTGCTACTCGGATGGAAAGCCTCTCTTCCTCCACTCCCTGCACCTCCGGGGTTGAGGACACCGCCTCTTGAGGCAAACATATTAACGTGTTAGAACTCCAGCAGTGTTCAACGCTCTTTGCCACTTCTGACAGGACTTTCGTTCCGCTCGAGTCCAGAGCGACACCTCAACGACAGTGGCATACGTCAGTCACCAGGGTGGCACGTGCTGTCCTCAACCCTACGCCCTTGCGTGGCAGCTCTTCATGTAGACGATCGATCAGGGGGCCCTGTCCGACCAACAGAGTGAACTCTTCAACCGAATGTTGTCAGACCAGATTTTTGCAGAAATTGAACATCCTCTATTCGACCTCTTCACTCCCGCCAACAGTGCCCATCTTCCAACGTTCTGCTCCAGGTTTCCCCACCCGCAGGTGTGGGCGACAAACGCTCTCCAGATTGACTGGTCGGGCCCTCTGGCATACGCCTTCCCTTCAATCTCCCTCATCCCATGGATCCTGTCTAAGATAGAACGTAGCTGTCAGTTCTTCTTCACTCTCCAATTGCGGTTTCAAAGACTGACAAGACTCTTGCTACGACGGCCGCTGGTCCTTCCGGTCAGAGAGGACATCCTCCATCAGCCCAAGTCTGGGATGCTCCACCCACCACAGAAGAGTCTTTACTTGACATGCTGCATGTTGTCCAACAATTTTTCAGGCGGTCAGGCCCTACTGCAGACGCTGCGTCTATTTTGGCCTGAGGTCGACGACTGTCCACTCTATTTTGGCCTGAGGTCGACGACTGTCCACTCTCAGGATGTACAAAAGCTGACTATAACATTTTACTAAATGGTGCAATGACCACGATGTTTCTCCAAACGAAGCTCCTTTGAGTTCCATCGCAGACTTCTTCATATATATGTATCTGTTCCACTCAGGCCTCGAGGTTGCCATCATCCGCAACTACTGGTCAGCCTTGCCGGCTGTCCACTCAGGCTTCAGCGATGGTTTGACTGTCTCCAACAATGCTGCTATCCAATATCTCCTTCAAGGGACGTTTGTCGAGCGCCCTTATGTCGAACACCTTGTCTTATCCTGGGACCTCGGAAGCGTTCCTCGCATTCTTACGAGTTCCCCCTTTGATCCAATGGCTGATGCATCTAACGTGCATCTCAGCATCAAGTTAGTTCTCCTCCTCACGGTCGTTTTATCGAGAGGAGGTAGCAAGCTACGTACCCTGTCTATTACCAATGGTCACATCTGCTGGGAGCATCGTCTCATCCCAACCATCGGGTTCCTGACTAAAAACCAGACACCTACCTTCTGGCCTCCCAATAAATTCATTCCTGATATAACCTCACTTTCAGGAGATGACACTGACAAGAGATAGTGTCCAGTTCAGACTCTCAAGAGGTATCTTGCCAGGACCAAGCATTGCCGGGAATCTGATTCCCATCTTTTTGTCACCATAACAAAACCCTTTCACCCGGCGTCAAAGGACACTATTGCCCGATGGACAGTCTCAGCCATCATCTTCAAAAACTGAGACTGGCTGGCACAACATGATGAGACGACCCAGACTTATGTCAGGACCGATGATGTTTGGGCCTCCTGTACGTCCTGGTTGTTCTTCAGAGGAGCTCTTCTAGCTGAAATCTGCCAGGTCGCTTGCTGGAAATCTCCCTCCGCCTTCACTGAGTGCTACCTGAAAGATGTTCTGCTGAGCACAACAGCCTATGGCAGAGCGATCTTGTCTAGCACTGTTCCAGGCTAGGCGGTGGATACTTTTACTTAATAGTTTCTCCTGACGAGTGCTCACTCTTGCGAGACCTGCCTTATATTCCGTTTAGTAACGACACTCCTGATGCGGACCCACGTCCAGGGTTTGGTGCCACTCTGCATATGTAGGCTGGATAGGGATATGTGAACGCAGGAGACTCCTCCCCCACCTGGAGTGGGTCGGGTTTCCTAGTGATACTTATTCCTGCTAAGCCGCTCCCTCCCATCCTTCCCCACTTCAGCTCGGGTGGCTTTCGCCACTTTGAAAAGGATGAATATGGTGGCGGGACTGCACTTTGGAACTGAATTTGGTGCACTTTTTGGTACTAATCTGATGGAAGAACATTGTAAATGAGGGAGTGGGGGCTCAGAAAAGGGGTCAGCAATGCAGCCAAGGATCTCTTTATCCAACTTTTCATGCACGACTTGTGGGAGCTTGGTAGCCGAGGGAGACACTCTGAGTCTCACAGCTCCCGTGTACCTGGGCTCAATGGGCTCAAAATTTGGAAATTGGTGTGACACCATATGGATCATTTCATATTTAAGGAATAGCCCAACTTGGGAAATGTGTCACTTTATGTAATAGCCATGAAGATACTAAAGGCCGATAGCCATTTATGGAACAAAATATTCTAGCAGGCAGACACCACAGGTTCATGCACCCGCCCTCCACCGCGAATATCTCAGTACCCTTACCCACCTCAGTAAGAGTTGGGTGCGCATTCTCACGATAGAGCTGCAAAAGGTCAACAAATTTGCCTTTCCAAATCTTATCTTTTGAATTTTATCATTTTGAATTTTTATGGATTTGCTCTGACATCAGCATTAGATGTGGCATTCATGATGAGAAGGAAAACATACAACTTGCAAGTAAAGGAATTTATTTCAACAAGTCTGAATGACACATCCACAAGTGCAAAGAAACTTCAGTTTTTGGATGAACCTTTACCCTTTATTGCAACAACATTTAACATGTAAACCTTTTGTCCAATTTTCTCAATGTTGGTATCAAAATATAGGCCAGCCCCGAGAGGTTGAAAGCTATAAAATGAGCAAAGATTATGCAGAGATTATTATGATTGCATAGAACTTATGATGTTTAATCGTTGGCTGCTCAACAAGGAATGACTTCAGATACAGCCAAGGTGAACAATGGGGTGAGTGCACTTCCTGCTGGGTGTCTTGACCAATCAGAAGGGAGTGACCATGGTAACTGGTGATCCCTAGGCCGATTGGTTGTGCAGGCTGTGGTCTAATAAAAGGAAGGTTTGTATCTTCTAAGGGGGGGGTAATTTTTTCTTCATTTCTCTGGGAGTGGCACTACAAAAAGTTGTGCAAGACTTTGGAAAACAAGTCACAAAAGGACAATTTGATATTTGCAGTGGTTTGGGAGAAGTGGCAACATTTCTACAGAGAACATCCCCAGTCTGTATAGGGTTAAAGATCTTGTCTGTTGTGATGCTTGTCAGATATGATTTGATCAGATAGAAATGTTATGATTTTACAGATCGTGGAAAAACCCATCACTCTTGGTGCTGCCAAGTATCTGTTCACTTGTCTTCTGCTTGGTCTTCAAGTCCATGGACAACATGACACTTGTCTGGCATTGCTGGTTCAAAAGACCTTCCAACACTACGAATCTTTGGTGAGGAAACCATATATATTTCATAAATACTTGAACATAATTAAGATCATGATGAAGATGATGATAAGATGATGACGAAAAAATAATAATTGTGTAGTGTTGACTTTGAGAACAGGAAAGAGTGTAGATTCTGATGGCATTCCTCTGCCTGATGGGTCATGGTTGAAGGTGTTGGGAAAAGAGTGAGGGATACAAGTATCTTTGTGCTTTTGAGGTGGACAGCATGATACATGGATAATTGAAAACTTAGCCAAGAGTACATCAGGAGAACAAAGATTTATAAGCTGCATGGTAGTCAGATGGTGCAGGTGGTAAATACCTGAGCAATGGAACTAATGAGGTTTAGTGCTTGGATTGCTGACTGGACTATGAAGGTGGAGTTAATTGAAGGTTATTGACTGGAAGACGGGGAAGCTGGTGAGAGTGCATGGTATTCTGCATCCTGGGGCTAACATCAGCAGGCTTTACTTGCTGAGGACTGGAGGATGCAATTGAAGGTGATGGACTGTGTGAGCATTGAGAGCAGACGTTTCAAGGGTATATCTCTGGGGTGCAGAATGGATTGCTAGGGATAGCTAAGAAATACAGTACTTTTTTGAAAAATAAAATACACCTGAAAAAAGAAATATGTTGTTGGAAAGGATGTTGATCCTATTACATTACAAGATGATATGGATGGATGAAAGGCCAAAGGCTTATGTGCACTGAACTTGGGGGGTTACCAAGATGATAGTGTAATAAAAATGTTAATACTGTCTGTGCTTTAAAGTTTGACATAAGAATTTTACTGAAACTGGATGGGGTAATTAAGGTGTCAGCACAGTGACTCATGAGTATGCTTTACCTGACCTTTCAACATTTACTTAAATGTGGTGCTTTCTTTCATTGTTAAGTACAGTGTTGACATCCTTTGGAATTATACACTGGTAACACCAATCAAAATTCTGACTGTATCATTGATAATATTAATATCTGCCATGATTGTAACCAAAAGCGGAACAGCACACTGGAAGCGTGCCCCATGTGCACTGTACCACAGCGAAACACATGAAGCATATGCATGGTATCCCTCTCCAGCATATCCTCCTGCTTGGGCTGTATGTACACTTTCCAGAGGTGTTGTTCTCAATGGACTTGTCATCCTGGGAAACCCTGTAGACTCTCCCCCACCTAATGTGAGTTGAGTCTACTACTGCATACCTACCAGATAACCAATCTCTCTTCCTCCTTCCCACACGGCCTCGGTGCACTTCGCGCATCATCGTGGGGGGTGAGAGAGTGCGCAATATTAGTGATCGAGATTTCAGCGAATGGAAGTAATGGACCAGGAAATAATGCATATGTATTGGTAATCTGGTCAGTATACAGTGGTAGACTCAACCCACAATAGGTGGGGGGGGGGAGAATATAGTAAATAATTATCAAATGAGAATTTCAATATGAACATTTTAAAACAATAGGAAGTTGTGATCAATATTTGAACAGTAGGTCAAGCAGTCACTTGTACCGGTGGGGCTTACCAATCATATACCAACGGCAGATAGAACGGCACTCTTTAAAGTAATTTGAAAAGTGGTTAAGTAATTTGGGCATAAGATATGTGACATATTATTAAAGCTTAGGTTAGAACCCCCCTTGGGGCTAGTAAGTGGGCAAGGTTGGCAAGTGTACCAAGGAAAAGTGGGCTTGGCGATGCCAAGCTTGGCAAAGATTTTGGGCAAGCTTGTCCTGATGTTATGGCAAGCATGCAAAGCATTTAGGGGCAGGCATGCCCCATTGTTTTAAGGAGGCTCAGTGGCAGGTAGCTAACAGACAGGGGTTTAGATCAATCCTTGAGAAAATTTATTAAGATAGCATTTATTCTCAAGGGACCACAAGTTACATAATCTCATCCCTGCATTGAAATCATCATGATCATGTCTGAGCCAACGGAAGTCACAAAATCATTGAGAAAACAGAGTAAAGATCCTCGCTCTTATTCGCCGACCCCGAGTGACAGTCAAGATGGTGGTCATCGATGTGCTTGTCATGATGCAATCAACCAAGTCAATAGTAAACTTGACAAGATCCTGGAGACCCTTGCCGCTATGAGGGACAAGATATCCAACCTGGAAATCAAGCTTTCTGATGTAAGTCAGACTGTCTCCACTCATGATCATGTAATCAGTGAACTGAAGACAAGCTTGAACCTGATTGGTGATACACACCGGGAATGTATTGGCCTTATTAACAACTGTGCAAACGGTAATTACCGGTGTGTCTCTAAGCTTGAGGATTGCATTGATGACCTCGAAAATTGAAGCAGAAGAACAACATCATGCTAAACAGCATTCCAGAGGGGGCTGAAGATAGCTTAACTTGCCAGTAATTTTTGTCAAATTTCTTCTGCAACCATGTGAAGCTGGAGGGTGGCAACATTGATTGAGATCGAGAGAGCTCACCGTACCCCCACTCGACGGCGCCTTGCTATCGGCTCTGCAGACGGCAGTGATCGGTCTGCAACACCCCGTTCCCTGTCCCATCCACTGCCGACTACTCCGTTACACTGATTGGCAATTCATCTTCAAAAACGCATCAAGAACACGCAAGAATAACAAGTTCAAGCGATCTAACATCTTCATATCAGACAACGTTACAGCTTACATGTATGTAATGTAAGAAACTTCGAGAAAGACACCTGGCATCTTTTCAGTGGTCAGCTTCACCTATATCCCTTGGTCTGTGCCAAGATGTTCCGCCTCAGGGAAAGTGCAATCCTTCTGATGACATCTGCAAGTTCAAGTCTGTAGCTGCTTGTTATTCCTGGTTTTTATAGTTTTGTTCTTAAATTTCTTTTCCCTTCATTAGTTCAAATTATGACTATCCTTAAATCATCACAATCATGCAACTTTTGGCTGTTTAAATACATGCATACCTAATTTCCTCTCATCCCGATTTTGATGTTAAATGTAGAAAGTTTGGTATATCTAGTTAGTACCAATATTCATCTGGGCCATATTCAGTTTTTAGAGGTAAATATTGTCAATTCGCTGATATACTGTGTTGATGATGGTTTCTACGGACGCCCTTCAGAAGCCCCTGGAAACAGCTTTTAGTCGAGTCTTTTCAGGTCCATCAATGCCTTATTGTTATTTAAATCCTCATGCCCAATTCCAATAGTAGCTATTTAAGTAGTACAAATAGCCTAGCCAATACTGATTCACACTCGACAGCAGGTTATATCATCAATCATTCAAACAACAACATATTTAATCCCATACCACCTGATGCTGAATACTCCGAATTCATGCTTAGTACGTGTGGATCTGAATACCTTAGTGAAGAACAGGTACGAGCTAAACGTCATGCGATAGGGGATTCGTCTTTGTTATACCATGCCAATATAAAAGGTCTCAACAAAAACTATGATTCTCTTCAGCACTCATTTGAAAAAAATGGGGACTGAATTCCAAATTATTGGCCTTACTGAGACATGGCTTAATCAGACCCCAATTCTATCGTGTCCATGCCAGATTACAATATTGAGTTTAAAAAGAGACATAATCATGCAGGTGGAGGCATAATGATGTATATTAAAGCTTCATTGTCGTCTGTTTTACATCCTGATTTGTTGATTTCTACCCGGTCATATGAATCCTTTTTTATAGAAATTAAAGCTAATACTAGAAATACTCTTATTGGTGTGGTCTACCGACCCCCCAGTCTTTCCCTCAAGACCTTCATAGACGATTTTGAATCAGTACTTGAGAAAATTGAATGGGAATCAAAAATCTGTTATTTAATGGGGACTTCAATATGAATTTACTAAACAGTGAAACTCATTCTGGTACTAATGATGCACTAAACTTCTTCTATACATATCTTTTCCGCCCTACTGTTGATAAACCTACTAGATTAACTGAAAATTTGGCCACATTGATTGATGATATCTTTACGAAAAACAGCAGTCTCTACTTTTATTGTTTTATCAAATTTCAGTGATCACCTTCCAATTATATTATCTAGCCAGGGCCTTGTTCAAGCTAAACACAGAAGTGGCTATGTATGGAAAAGAAATACGTCGGCCCGTAATACTGCTGCTCTGAAAAACAAATTAGCTCAAGTAACCTGAGATTCTGTAACCACAAGTGAAAGTGTAAATGTGCAATATTCACAGTTCATAGCCAAGTTAGGTGATCTGATTGATAAATATATGCCTTATACCAAATGCAAATCTAATTCGAAACAATCAAAAGATCCTTGGATTTCTAAAGGCTTATTAAAATCTATAAGTAAGAAAAATAAACTTTATAAAATATATCTCAAAAATCCTTCACAGGTCAATTAACTAAAATATAACAGATATAAAAACAAATTAACTTCTATAATTAGAACATGCAAGATACTGCTTCCGCTTCTTTTGAGCGAGAGAAAGCTAAAATACCTGGAAAATCGTCAATGAGATGTTGATTAGAAAACTTAAAAATACTAAGCCTTTTCAACCCATCAAAATTAAGGATTGTGACTCTAATGACTCTAAATTGATTGCTGAACACTTTAATCAATACTTTACAAATATTGGTAAAGATTTAGAGCACTTCTGACTCTTTGAAATGTTTAAAATGTAGCTTCCCTGACTGCTTATTTTTGAGCCCAATTACACAGGAAGAACTTGATTGTATTAGAAACCTTCGTAATAAGAAAAGCATGGGTTATGATGAAATTCATAATATTCTTATTAAAAATATTGCTCCTTTTATTTTTCAACCCTTAACTGATATTTTCAATCTTTCTTTAATATCTGGTTAGGTTCCTGACCAACTTAAAATTGCTAAAGTTATTTGTCTTCAAAAATGGGGATTGTTCCCAGGCCAAAAATTATTGCCCTATATCTGTTTTGCCTTGCTTCTCAAAATTGTTGGAACGATTAGTTGCTTACCGCCTTGAACAGTTTATGTCTAGATTTAATATACTTGCACAATTTCAATATGGATTCAGGGCAAAACATTCAACTCAACTTGCCCTGATTCATTTAGTTTATAAAGTAACATCTAGCCTGGACAAACTGGAACATACCATTGGTGTTTTTTTTTAGATCTTTTGAAGTTTGGAAAAGGAATACTGCCTCTGAATATTAAATTTATTTTGCAAGGAACACTGATATTCACAATTATAACACCAGGTCTTCAAATAAGCTTCATATTGATAAAGTCAGAACATCTATTCGCCTTTCAACTGTTAGATACCAGGGACCCCCTTCTCTGGAACTAATTCAGATCTCTTTGCCCAATGACGACAATTGCAACTTGTAAAAGGCATTATAGGAAACTTTTATTAAATGTGACGGACAACTGAGAGTATGATTTCTTCTAAACAATGCCAAAGTTGTATTTATACATTTTTAAATCTGTAGTTAGGATTTTGTGTCGCTGTTGTACACAGCTATTTACTAACTTGAACTAATGAAGATATTCACACATTACTCTGTATTATTAATTTTGGTATTTTTTCTCTAGAGAATTTTAAATTTACATGTATTATCTTTGCAGGGGGCAGACCCCGTAAAATCTTCGGCTTTTTGTCTGACCTCCCTCCATACTATTTAAATTACTTTCATTACCTTATTTTATTTAAATCGTGTATAGTATGGGAAATAAAATGAAATAAACCAAATGATCAACATGCGTAGTATTATATTAAGGTTCCGGGTTTAAAGGCTGCATGAAGAAATCTGTGGACAAACTGTTACTTAACTGTTTAAAATGTTCATTAGTATACCAATGGTACAGTGAGGATGTAAAAATGAAATAAAGTTCCCTTTGTTGTCATTAATTTTTCACTGATCCCTTTAATGAATGTTTATCCTACTAAATGATGGTGTTATATGTGGCACACTTTTGAGAGCCCACCCAAAATAGCAGCAGAATTATAGCAAGACACCATTTTGGTACGTCTGGACCAGCCCACGGAATGTTTGAACGTAAAATATATACTGTACATATACATGCATGTGTTCGTGTCCACAAACATGATGCACACACGGTACAGTCACTGCATTACATATTGGTGTTGCGGCATACATAAATGGGCACAACGATCCATACACAAGGGAATATTGAGTGGAATAGCCAGGGGCAGTTTGGAAGCATTTTTTATCCTTTCTCATTTGTGTTTCATGAAAGCCCTTCTTCATTTGAAGCAAGATATGGGTCAGAGAACACCCCCCCGCCTTTGTGTTGGTCATTGTTTGATCAGAATCTCAGGAATTTTTTACAGACTTCTGGGGGGATGTGTTGGGTAACAGTAGTCTACAGTGTGAATAGGGATGGACAGGTGGGTGGGTACCCCTCCATCCCATATCTTGCCTGGTATACTCCTCTTCATCTTTGTTTTGGGGCTTTCTTTGATCTCCCAGAGATCGTGGGCATAGTGCCTGGTTTCGGCAATTGTTTAAATCTAATCCTAAATGAGTCGTACATGTTTTGAAGAAAACACTCTAGCTTGAAATGCTCCCTGCACAGTTTGGAGCTTGCTGTCTGTCCTGACCATTTGGCCCTGGTCAGCCTGACTTCCAGTTTTCAAATTTGCCGAAATTCACTTTAGTCAGAAAGCTTGTTAAGCAACACACCCAAAATAGGACTAAATTTTCAGAACTTGACCCAGACAAGCATTGATACACTAGCAGCACATGACGATGTCTTCTCAAATGTACATCACAGATATGCAAATTTTCTATATTAATAAGATACCTCTCAGGTTTGCCAACATTTTTTCTTTCATTTATTAATAAAAAAATAAAAAATTAAAAAAATTTAAAACTAATAAAACCACTTTTCATGGGCCCTTAAAAATGGTCATATCCTTTCATATTCTGTTTAATTCATTTTCAATTTAATGATATGTTTACATCCTATTATAATTATTGTAGCGGCCTAGATTCGATGTCCTCCAAGAAGTGATGTTACAGATACCAGGAGTCACACAAGAGGCTCTTCAGACTTTCGATCGTCGCTTTATATTCAAAGAAGATCACAAGAAACTTACCAGTGAAAAAAGTAGACGAGACAACTTTAAGAAACTAATTGGTGGAATAATTGGGGTGAGTCTGTCATTATTTTATAATAATAAATTGCTTTTTAAATGATCAGACTTTAATCACTTAGTAATACTGTTTGGTTCATCTTCGTTTTCATTTGTTTTCCTTAAGATTTTTTTTTTGTTATATTTTGTTTTTTAGCTGTTCCGGTGACGTTGGTCACCGAAACAGCGCTTGTTTCTGTTAAGGTTTTTTTTTCTGTTCGGCTTTTTTGCAATTTTGCAGAAAAGGCAAAGGGTTTTGCAAGTCCCATTCGCGTACTGTGCATTGGGTACTATGTGTGGGGACGTGAATTATCTGCCTGTAAAACAGGCAGCACACAGTGTATAGGGCATTATACTCAAGAGTTGGCAAATTTCCAAGCACATGGCACTGAGAGCAGATGGCATTGTATGGGATGACAAAGTGCTTAAAATCTCAAATTTGTGCATCCTTTAAGGACCATATTTCATTAAGTACATGTCTGCTGGGTTGAAACTTTGCAGACATTAGAAAGGGAAGTGTTACAGATGCAGTTGATCTCGTGATGATGACGACATGTCAATGTAGTATATCTCATGAAGTACATGTCTGATTGAATTCAAACCTTGCAGATACCTTAAAAGGGGAAGGCTTTAGACGACTATTGACCTGATGTGATGATGACTCCATTAAGTAACACGTGTAGGTCGCATGATATTAAAGGTGTAATGTACAAAGCACTATATCCCTTCACTGCACGTTGTATTGTGTTCAAACTTTGCTTATATCTCAAAAAGAAAGTGACGTAAAAGGAAAGTAAATATTGACCTCATATGAAGATGTCATCATCTGGTGAGAAATCACGTGACATTCCCCTGTAACAATTATGTACCTGTCTGCTTGGGTTGAAATTTGGTAGGTAGTGAGAAATGGAGAAAAAGTGATCAGACGAAGTTATGTTAAATATGTCTTCACTTTCTTCTCCATATCTTCTAATGTATAAAAGGGTTAGCACATTTCCTCGATATGACTCACCAAAGAAAATATTAGAGTTATTTTTAGTAAATATTTGTAGCTCTGAGGTACATCCTTAAGCAAAAGTGAGAAATGGAAATGTGGAAGTATCTCAAATGAACAAATGCTTCTTTCTTGACAAAAAATGAAAATGCTAAAAAGCCCTTTGTTCTGTCCTTTTAAGACTGACAAAACCATTTAATTGGCTTTTTTTCAATTTTGCAAAACAGGAATTCCTTTATTCTGTATTTTTCTTCCTTCTTCTTCCTCCTCTTCTGACCAAAAGCCCATTTTATTCCTTTTTATTCTTCAAAATTCGGTACAAAATCAACTTTATAACAGATATAAGCATGAATTGTCCATTAAATGACAGTTAAAACAGTGGAGTCAGCTGCATTAAGTACCTAACAGGTGTATTTGTTCATACAGATGAAGCGCCAACAACAAAAAACTTACAGCATTTGTGAACTCAAAAATCCCATGTACTGTGCATTGGCTACTGTGTGCATTGACGTGCAATATCTGCCTGTAACATAGGCAGTGCACAGTGCCTGGAGCAAATTTCCAAGCATTGAGAGCAGATTGCATTATCTGGAATGCCAAAAGGGAAAAACGTTTGCAATCTCTAATCTGCGCTCTTTCCGCAAAAACAATGTATGTATTGTATTTGTATTGTACATATCTGATTGGGTTGAAACCTTGCAGATAGTTATGAAGGGAAGGAGACTGACCTCATGTGATGACAATGTCATCAACCGATATTAAAGTCACATGACATCAAAGGTGCATCCTTTAAAGTGCTCTATCTCCTGAAATGCACGCCCAATTGGGTTCACACCTTGCAGATATATGAGAATGGAGTGCTTTTGTCAGCATTGACTCGATGAATTGTCCCTCACTGGCTGTGTGCAAAATTATGGGAAATTTTTAAAGTTCAGCTTCTTTATGCTTTTTTTCAGCTGTTTTCAGCTAGTTTTATCGTTGGTCAATCTCACCCCTGTGATGTGATATGATGATAACGCCATCTTGTGACAAGTCACATGACATTAAATGTGCACTCTTCCAAGCATTATCTCTTGAAGTGCATATCTGATTGGGTGGAAACCTTGCTGATATCTTCAAAAGAAGTGCTTTTGGCAAATATTGACATCATGCGATAATGACATTAAAGGTGCACATGCATGTATGCCTGGAAATCTTCATGGCGAAAAAACACTTCACCGATTTTATATAATACACTTTAGTAAAACCTCCTAAAACACATACAAATGCACTTGTTCCCGGAATGTTTCATAAAGAGTAGTACACTTGAGTATTCAACTCTGATAATCCTTCAACCTCTAGACCAGGTTTCATGTTCAATATTTTGAATATATTTTTCAACATGCACTTAAATTCTTCATTCAGAGTTTGTGCTGCTGTGCACTCGCAAATTTGTCCATTTCAAATTCAATAGGCAATAAGGAGTTATACTTTTGAAGGAATTGTGTGAAATTGATGTTTACATTATTTTTCTTCCCATCTTTGAAATTGACATTTCTTAGTTTGTTTATACCAATAGCCTTAACAGTTCCCAGTCCTCTGATTTTCAGATTTTACATACACCCTAGACCGTCAGGGTTGATCAAATGTGAATGCAACTGTAGCAGATCTTCATTTGGGCAATCAAACCCTTATGAGAAAACTGAACTGCGCCCTCACGAGATGAACTTCAACATTTTGTAATACATACTACCTGATTGATATTTTTGTGTACGTTCCACTGGGATGAAGCAACAATTACAAACACTGGTAGTCTATTAATTATACGAGCTTAAGGTACATGTACACGAAATAAATTTAGTGCGCATATTTGAAATAACTATTCATTACATCGTTCATTGCCCATTATGCTTTTTAGTCGGCAAGGGAAACATTGTGTTGCTATCTGCGATCCCAATCAAGGTCACTTTATTCCACACATATTGAAAGGATGTTGAAATTTGGTCTTGCGTACAAACCGAACTGGAAGTCTAATAAGTTTCTGTGGGGTTTTGTAATGTCAAGGTTACGTGGGGGGCATTGCCACCTTGACGTAGTGGGTCCACTCAACTTTTAAATGAGGATAGGAAACTGCTAGGTAATCACAAATTAATCAAAGAGTAATATATGTACTCAGTACAGCATGATGTCCGGTGATTGCATTCCAAATTTGCTTTAATTATTCCAACAATTATCAGATGACAGGGCCTATGACAATTGACAGTAAAGAGATAAGTGTGTTTGTTATGAGATTCTTCAAGAGTTGAGACCAAGTTGGATTCCTAGGGGATTTTACATTTAGTTTTAACAAGTTCCCAAAGGGCATTGTGCAGACCCGCATCTCCTCAGAGCGAAGCGCTCTCTCTCTCTCTCTCTCTCTCTCTCTCTCTCTCTCTCTCTCTCTCTC